TTAAAAAAAAAAAAAAAAAATTTGTACATTGATGATACCAGTGTGCTTTTCTGTTTTAAGAAAGGGATTTGCGACAGATGGCTGTCTTGCTCACACTGTTCCTAATACTGTGCATCATCATATCCTTTCTTATTGAAATCTGAAAGCATTTCATGTGCATATTCCTGGGACTGCCGAACCTGTTACTTTGAAGCTTACTCCTTTATAGCATTAAGGAAGACGCTGTTAGAGGTGAACAGCCTGTCTGTTACATCTCTGTCTTCATGCAGGTGAATATGGTTTCTTCCCTAAAGCCAGGGGAAATACAATAATTTCTCTCTTTTGGGAGACTTACTGGAGATGTCTTAATGCACCACAGGTGTCTTTCAAGGAACCACTAGCAAACACAGTTTATGTTATGCCAGCAGAAGTCGGGCTGAATCTAGTCTCTAGCATGTAGAGTGTAAGGTAAGCATTTAGAAAAGAGAAAAACCTGCTTCTTTAAGGCAAAATGCTATCTTTTAGATCTGCATTCCTGGGCTACCTGCCCTGTCTTGAATGATATCTAACTATCCAGTTCAAGCTTTAAGCTTTTACTGGGAGGTAAAATCATGTTTGTGACATACCTTACACATAGCTTAGTGTCTGTGTTTATAAAACACTGCAGGCTCTCTCTGGTCTTGAACATCTTGTTTCCTGGCCACGCTTTGGATCCTGCTGCTTCCAACTGTCATCATCATTGGCTCTGCTAGTTTTCTTTCGTATTTCTGAGGTCATTGAGAATAATTATATTGGGTTGGACAAAAAGTTTGCTTCAATTGATACTCTACCTAACTTACTAACAAGAAGCAAGCATATCATGATGCTTCCCTCTGGATATTCTCCCTCCTTCCAGCTATCTGAAGCTTACAGCCTTCCCATGCTAATGTTTTTTTCTGTCTGTTTGTTTTGGCCTTTGTTTTTTCTTCAGTGAACTTGTCTATTTTTTTAATCCTCTTGTGACAATGAGCTCCCTGGTCTGAGCATGTAGGGAACAACACCCTTTTATTTTCTCTAATTTAAAGGATGGGTTTCTTGTGGTGTGTACGAGCCATTCCTGTCGCTTTCCAGTGTGTATTTGTTAATCTTGCTTCTAAAGTTGGGAGGAAGACCTGTTGCTTGATGCTGTTTGCTCATTTTTCCCCAGTCCTTTTAAGATTGTTTCACTCTGCTGGTCAGGTTAAAGCCCTGATTAAATATTGTATGGTATGTATAATTTGTGAGATACAAGCGTTGTGCTTCACAGCTTCACAAACTCTGCTATAATTGTGTGTTCTTGTTGCCATATGACCTGGCAGTTTGTGTCTTTTGATAATGTACTTCCCTCTGTGTGGGAATGCTGCTGATTTCTCTGGCATTACCAGGTGAGTGGGACTTCTGAGTGTGCTATGTAAGTATTCAGAGACATTCTTTCCTTCATGGGATGCAGAGTCGGTCTCGGTGGCTCAGTGCTTGCATTCCAGAATAGTGGCATTTGGCTTTCTGTGCCAGCAGGGATGGGCTTGTCTTTTCAGCTCATTCTAAACTGGTGTTGCCATACCCCTTCCTACACTATGTCCCTTGTCAGCCCTTTCCAAGGGAGCCAGGAGCTGGTTACCTGCAGAGGCTCTGATTCAAGCAAGCATGTAAGCACATGCTTGAATCCCATTGATGTCAGTGACACTTCAGCATGTTATTAAACATATGCTTAAGGGTTTTGCTGAAGTGTGTCTTAGATGCAGGCGCTGCCTGCCAGATGTGCTCTTGGAAGGCTTGGAAGCCTCCCTGATGCTGTCACATTTACAAGCTAGTATCAGCAGGCAGCTTACTGGACACGTGTAATACATCCTTCTGTATTCAGGGGCAAGGCATTTCAGGGGAGAAGTGGTGTGAAATAACCCAAACGCTGAGTAAATGTGGCCAGATTCTTGCTGGAAATGGGTAGCTTTGCTGAAAGGAGGACTTGCAGGGACATCAATAAATTCTGCACCTTCACAGCTTTTTTTTCTGACCTTATGATGTGCAAAATATGTATGATCTTTGTTGCTGTTTGGACCCTCACTTTTTTTGTGAAAAATCACAGCTGTATTCTAACCCTTGTGCTTGGGATCTGTTAATAAGCTTTAAAAAAAAGGTTTTGTCTCCTGCACTTGCTTCATACCTGCAAATTAACAAGTATGGTAAACTGTGTGCAAACAGGATGTGGAGCTGAAACCCAGATAGAAATACTCATTGACAGTTTTATCTACTCCTGTACTGTTTAGAGTTTACAATAGTGTATTTGAGATCAGAATCTGGCTGTAGGTGCATACTAAAATATTGTTGCTTTCGTATCAAGCAGGATACCAGTAGAATTTAAAGTTTAAAAAAATATAAAAGTGCAAGCTTTTATTTCTGAAGGTGTCTGAAAATGTTTACTGCAGTATTTGGAGTTGTTGCACAGCAAAAATCCCCAAAGACCTGTGTTCACATAGCTGGGTTTTTTTAGCTAGTGATTTTCTTGTGTATGTTGTTAAACTGATTACAGGATATCTGGGCTCTCTGTAAGTCCACCGCATTGTTTGTGGAAAGTTTGATGGTAGCAGTGTTTCAGCACTGGGAAAGCAGACATCAAAAGCTGCAGTGCCAAGAAGTGAATTCCTTTAAAGGAGAGACCTCCTGGGAGCTCCTGACTTCATCCACTCCAGCAATTCAATGCTGTGGTACCAAAGCATGGCATTAGGTTTCCCTTAAATACCTGGGTGTTTCCCAATGAAATCACATAGTGCTTGCTTCTAAGCTAGCTTACATGGAAAACTTTTAACCTTCATGCTTCTCATGTGTGAAATTGAAAAGGAATTAGCAAAAAAATATCTGGAAGAGAAAACTCGCTGGAACTGGGAAAAGAAACATTCCTCTCTGCTTGGTTAATTCATTCACAGATCTTTCAGGATGATTTTTTTTTTTTTTTAAATACCACATTGTGGATCGCCATTCTTTTTGGTGTATGTTTTAATAATATAATTAAATGCTGAGAAAGGCCTGAAGTAGATGGAACAGTTTGACAACTTTTCTTCTGTAAATAGGGCACTGATAAAGAAGCAGTCATGGTCTCAGGTCTGCTTTACCATCCTGCCTGTACTTTGCCTACATGCAGTTTTTGTAGCATGTGAAGTACCTGAGGTCTTGTTCACTGTTGAGTTGGCTTTACAGGATGCCAACAGCTAAGTGAATCAAGTTTTATTACTTCTTGGGTGTACAAGTATCTTGTGGAGATCCCTGTTTCAGGGACGTAGCTCTCAGTCAGTGGAGGATGATTGGTAGTGATGTGGCTGTGATACTAAGACTGTAGGTAAAGCAGGCTTTGTAGATCGAGATGATCTCTTCTGGTCTGTAAGTTATTGCTACCTTAAAAATCAGTTAAACGTTTCTGGAAAATGTTTTTAGTCCAGGCAGGGAGACATTCTTGTCTCAGTAAAGGCTGAGATAAACCTCCAGATACTCCACAGTAGTTACTTAAAAATAATGGAAGCTTGCCTTCATTTGAGGCTTTGCTAGAGCCACATCTGTCCATGGGTTGCTTCAGTCAAATAAAAATTCCTGAGTCTGATAACCATGACATGGTGTTGGAAGAGGGGAAGGAGGAGAATCTGCTATGGCTTCAGTCTAAGTGATAGGAGACCTGTGGTTTGATTTGTTTGCTTGTTTTGCTGTTTTCCTAGTGCGGGTTTCAAAGTATTGACTTCAGACAACCCCAGGTAGTTCAGCTTAGGTGAGTTAGAGAAGTTGTGCTGGCATCTGATCTTCCTGCACAATTGGAAAAAAGGGACTGCCTTGAAAGGCTTATTAATGCTCCTGGGCTCAAAGACTGCCTGGGGCTAACAGGGAGATCCTAAGCATGAGGATTTGTGAATGCATCTTTCTTCTTAGAGTTGAGGTGTTGGATGTAATTCTGCCCACTGGAGCATTTCTGTCCCCTCAAGATTTATGCTTCCTTAAAAATAAGCCCTGAGAAGTGAGGAGTGAGAAGAGATTCAGCAAAACCATCCTCCATCTTTTGTACTGAAACAAGAACACGGGGAGGAACAAGTATGTGATTTGTGTCCAGGAAGAGTGCAGCCAAGGGGGAAGCTTTATTTTGTTGCCTGGCAGTTAGCGTAGACACTTTGAAAAAGAAAACCTGACTTCCTATCCTGTTGTTTTTGGTTTTTTTTTATCATGGGAGGAGAGACCAGGATTGGGTCTTGCCTCTTCAGCAGCTGTCCTGCCCACTGCGGAAGAGTGTGAAAGTTGTGAATTTGCCTTCTCTCAGAGTAAGAATAGAGTTAGATTTAGGATCTCCCTTGTTTTGCATGACTGCCATACAGTGTGGGCCAGTTGCAGAAAGTGCATGCTATCACTGTTCCACTTATGCTTCCTGTTTTATAGTGATCCCAGTGCTGCCTTAATGGGTTAAATGTGCTGAGAGCACAGCTTCCTAGTCAAGGACAGCCTAAGGCCTAACTGTGTCTGTAGCCTGGTTTTGATTACAGCATTTGCTTAGCTGCAAAAGGTCAGGACACATTTGTGTAGGCATGGGTCTCTCAGTTTGGACACCAGGCACTTAGCAGGTGAGATCCATACTAAAAGGTGCAATGGTGTTATTCGTTATAACATTTAAGAGATAAATTTTGTATTGTCTGAACTGGTAGGTTTAGGTTCTTTTCACAGTGGCTGGAGAGATGTCATCCTCTCACTTTTCCTGTGATGGGAATGCTTGTCTATCTTGGGTGGCGGATTACTCTTTCAAAGTAGGCCCAACTTTGATACAGTTACATTAGGCAGGATGGACTTCCTAACACTGGCTGGAATAAAGATGTCACTGGAGGTGAAGGATGTGAGTTGTCAGTCACCTCTCAATAGAGCCTCCTGTGGATATGTTAATGACCATCTCTATGCATTTCCTGGCAGTCATTCCTAGTACACTTAATAGGTTGTGAAGTGGGACCTCGTTAATGTAAGGTTTGGCTCTGCTTTCATTCTAGGTCGTCAGAGCTGCTGAAGAAGCTGCTTCCACACTGGCAAGTTCCATCCACCCTGAGCAATGCATCAAGGTGCTTTGCCCCATCATTCAGACTGCAGATTATCCAATTAATTTAGCTGCCATCAAAATGCAGACGAAAGTAATTGAGAGGATTTCAAAGGAATCATTGCATCAGCTCCTTCCTGATATCATTCCTGGGTTATTACAGGTACGGTATCCCGTGTCACAAATGCTCCTGAGCACAAACCAGCACTGAGTAATTTGTGAGGTCTGTGACCTCAGAGAGAATGGATGGGCCCTTTGGGGCTAGATTTTGTTAAATTAAAGTTTTAATCCCTTTAATTTTTTATATTTGAGTTTTTAATGTTAAGAAAAAGAAGATTCAGTTTCTTCTGTTTATGTTCCACAATTAGAAGCCTTGGCCTGACTCCTAAATAAGCCATCAGTAGCCACATAATAAATTTGAATGTAGGAGTCAGCCACATCTTATGTTGTCTCACTACATCCCAAGCAATATATCTTGTAGTCTCCTTTATTTCTGCTGAGCTGTTCTGTGTTCTGATCGTACTTTGCTCTTGAATTTGAATCCCAGCAGGCAGGCTGGTCCTTTCTTCTTTCCAAAATCAGGACTGAACTGCTTGCTGACTTCATTCAGCCTCTTTCATAAGCCTCTCAGGCTGGGTGGGGAGCTGTGTTTTTGCCAGCGTTAAGGCTTGGTCTTACAAAGCAAATTTAGCTTTCAGCATTGGCTGTAGGAATGTTGTCTTCTGTTCCTCTGCACAAGCAGCCAGCAGTGCCAGTGGCTGGGATGAGGCTGCAAACAAGAAGGAAATAAGGGGAGGCAACAGTGAGAGATGAGAGACAATGTGTATGTGTTTACTGGAGAGAGATTGTGGCAGGAACAGATCAGTCATTGTGAAAGGGGAGACATGTTTGGGTGGGTAAGACTTCAGTAAAGAACTGGGGCAAAGAAGCCCTCCTCGCTGTGAGCATAAAAAGTTAGGACAAGAGCGAAGTCAGATATTCCCCTTCTGCATCCTAGGGTTCGTCTCAACTTTGTGGTGTCAGCTCTTGCAATTCTTTTCTTAAATTTCAGCTTCTGGGAAGCAGACAATTCTGTATTGATCTAAGCTTTTGTTGTGAAAAGATTTTAGCCATAATTGTTGGAGACAACAATCTGAACAGTGGAACTTCAGTGCACTAGAAAAGTTTGGGAACAGCAAGCCTTTAAAAATGCAGTTATATTTGTTTATTAAATTGCTTCCATGTCTTAAAATGGATCTTGTTTCAGAGCATAGATACTTCCTCACCTTAGAAATTCGTAGTGATAGAAGGATTCTACTCCTCATATTTGGGAAGTATTTTGGGATCCTAGCTGAAGGACTGTGTACGTTGGGAACCACCAGTGTACTTCTTTACCATGCCAAGGCTACTGGTAGAATGGTGAAGAGGCAGGCATCAGACAGCACCAATATGAGCACAAGCATGAAGCTCAGCATCTTGGAGTGGGATCTTCCTGATTCCAGTGAACTGCTGGGGATCTCCATGCAGGAACAGGACTTAGCTGGGGGTGTCATGGTGCTTGCCCTGGTCCCAGTGCAGAGCTCTGGCTCCCTCAGAGCCCATGGAATAGTAGTCTGTGAGGCAGTCTCCCGTGTGCTGCATCTTAATACCCTCAGGCTGGACACAGCTTTGAGCCCGTATAATGTCCTGAGTGAATGCTCTAACTGTTGGGCTGTATTATTAAATTCTGGGAAAAGAAGCACTGCCTTGCAAGCAAGTTGGCAAATGGAGAGGTGGGGTGATGGTCCCATTGGTGCATACAGGGCAGGCTCTATAAACCCAGGTCCCACCAAGATGCAGCCCTCAGGCCTCAGCACCGCACAGGTGTCCCTGCCCTCATGGGAGTAATTTGGGATGGATACATAAACAAAATTCCAGGCCCACAGGGAAACTTAAGGTCAAGCAGAGGCATCTGATCATCTCAGGAAGCCTTTGGGTTGGGATCCATCAGACTGTGTCCTGCATCTCAGCTCTCCTTCCAGCAGTGGGTTGTGTCTTAGTGGGTGTTCCTCTGCTGTAAGCCTGGGCTCAGCTTTTTTTCCGCCGCTGTCCTCAATAGCTTGGTGTTTCTCTCAGCTCATCTAGATCGCATGCTTTCCTAGCTCAGAGCTCATTGGGATTGCAGACTGTCATTTCACACTGTATTTTGGCCCTGCAGCTATAAGCCTCAGCTGTGCTGCATTCCTCCTCCTGGCTTTCCCAGCAGAGGTCACCCTGCATCTGGAGGAGCCAGTGTCCCTTAGGCTGAAATGATGTCTTCATTTCTCATGGCGTGGCTGCTTACTGATGAATCACTGCCTGAGTACAGGACTGATGTCACCAACTGCTAAGTGACCTGGTGGCTAGCTTGAGTTCTTCTGGAGTTGCTAGAGATCTGGTACACCTACAGGGGTCTCTCAACATGTTATTGTCTGGTATTACCTGATAAGTAATCAGAAAGCTTCAGGTTACAGTGGCAGTTCAGTGTGAAGCACAGTGTTTAAGGCTTTTCTGAAGGCAAGCTGGGAGCACAAGCGCTCCCCTCCAAGAAGTCCTGACCATCTAGGATAGTGTATGGTTATCTGAACTGGACACTGGAGTGTGTATGTTTGATGGAGTCCTAAGCACGTGTTGGGGAAACTGTTGTTGCTCAATGCTGCAACATTAATTTTTACATGATAGTAATAATCTGTATTATCAGGAACAAATAGGATGTGATTGTATTCTCTCGCTCTTTGAGTATTCAGGTTGCAAACTCTTACATTAAGCAGAGCTTTTTCTGTTGCTCTGTTAGGTCAGGCACATTTACAGAGTGTACATCAGCTCTTTAGCATACTGCTCTGAAAGGGTGTTGGTGAGTGCTGTTTGACTTCTGACCTTTTTTCCTTGTTTCACAGGGTTATGATAATACAGAGAGCAGTGTCCGTAAAGCTAGTGTATTTTGCCTAGTGGCAATTTATTCAGTAATTGGAGAAGAACTGAAACCTCATCTCGCACAACTCACAGGAAGCAAGGTAGGAGAGTAAACGCATCTCTGGGCTCTTGATTATAGTTAGCTGAATGGCTTGCGCTACTAGCAGCGAGACCAGTGGCATCACAGTAGTTCTGGGTCAAGCTCCTTGTACTATGTTAAATCGTATCTTACCCTACCAAACACTACTAGAACAGCACAGCACCTGCTCAGCAGTGTGAGCATTTGCAATCCCACTAAGAAAATTTTGATGGGGTACAGGTATGGGTTTCATGATGCATTTGATCCTGTGTAACTGCAAGCTGCCACTGAGAGGTCCTTTCCACTTACAGCCATGTTTAACTTGCCCCTTGGGTGCTGCATCCAGGGGTGTCTCTGCAGTGAGTTGGTTCAGCTGGCTGCTCTGGCTGAAAATCAGTTCTGCAATCCAAATTAATTAGCTTTCAGCCTGTTCTGTGGCTGTGTGGGTAACCCAGTGCGAAGAGTGGTGGGAATGCATGGCTGGGATGGGTGGGAGAGCAGGTTCTCTCAGCAGCAGGTTGTGGTTTGGCTGGTAGAAATGCAGGTAACACCTCATTTAATAGCATGGCAGTATCCCTTCTGGGACACCAGTAAGTTTAAGTGGCCCTTCAGAGGACTTTGTGCCCTAGAGTCAGGTTAACAGCAAAACTGAAGCTCTGGTCTGATGCTGCAGGTGATAACCAACTCCTTAGTTCAGCTCTGGCCTTCAGACAAGAGCTGGCATTTCATGTAGAAGCAGGCAGTGTCTGGTTTTCAGAGCTGTTCAGGAAGCCATCACAAGATTTCTTCTCCTGTTTGAAGTCATCATAACCAAGATTTCTATGCAATTTTACAAACAATTCTGCATTTTTGTTTCGGAAATAGATCTCTGCATGTGAATAGGTATGCTTAGTTTAGAGGGCTTTGTTATGTTATTTTGAAACAATAATTTCTTTCATGGATAGTGGCACAGGAAGTGTGGCATAGGCCAAAACAACATGAGACTTGGATTTTATTTCTGAATTGAGTTGCCTTGTCCTTAAACAAATTACTTGTGCCTCCAAATTGCTCTGGAAACAGATAGCTATGAGTGCTGAGGTTTACCTCATTATATTTGGGCAGTCGGGAAATCCCTCTATAAAATGTTGTAGAGACTTTATTATCCCAGTATCCTAGGTGCCATGGACTTACTCCACCACATAACTAACTATAAACATGTGAGTAATTCTTCTGGGTTTATGCAGACTGCCTGTGTGTTTAAAGTTAAATGTGTGTGTGAGTCATTGCAGGATCTGGAGCTAAGGTGGTAAGGCAGAAAAAGAAAACAAGCCCATGCAGAGGAGGTATATAGTCATAACAGCTGCAGTGTCACTAGATGTACCAAGTTAGTGAAGATATTTAAATGTCATTGAAAATGACCATTTTATAAAGTATGGAAAGTTCAGGGTGCTTCCTAGAAGGGACCGTGGCTCTTGGATCACTGTGTGCCTGCAGCCCTACTGACCTCTGTGGGATTCCTGCTCACCCAGAGCAGGCTGCAGGATTGAAGTCTGTGAACTGATAGCTGCTAAGTGAAATGCAATAGGATTTTCTGAATCCCGTGAAATCTCTAACTTCAGTGGGACTAGGCATAACTTCCTGCCTCTGTCTGTCCTGAAATACACTGAGCTTTGCTTCTGATTTTCTCCAGAGAGCCCAGCGTCAGTACACTCAAAACTCAGTTCACCACAGAATCTAAGTTTTAGGATTTGCGGTTGACTTTTGTCCACCTGTTTTTCCTGGCATCTTCTCCTCATGTTTGTTTGTTTCTTTCAGATGAAGCTACTAAACTTGTACATAAAGAGGGCCCAGACCACCAACAGCAACAGCAGTTCCTCTTCAGATGTTTCAACGCACAGTTAATGGAGATATGTGGACATATGTGTAGACTTAGAAGCAATCAACGGTGCCTCTCAGAGACCTTTCTGCTACTCTTCACTGGCGTGCTTCATCAGCTCAAGGAGGCCATGCAGATATTTATTGCAATCAGTATTTTAGTTCCTTAAAAGCTTTTATGTAGAATCTTACTGGTATTGAATGTAAAGGAAGCAAGGTCTGTGTTGCAGTCTTCATTAAAAGTGAACAACAGAAAGCCATACTTAAACATATTTGTATAGCCTGCTGAAATCTCAGAAATATGTTTAGGTTAGCATTCCAAAACTGAGTTCAGAAACCTGGATATGCATAAAAGTCAAACAAATCTTGTTGGTTTAGTTTATACCCAGTTTTAGTTTCTGTGTGCTAGTTACCTGTTCTCTCCCATCAGCCGCTCTGGCTAGGTTCTCTTCTTCTTACAAGTTTTGTGGTCCTGTTCTGTACTCCCTGCTGCATCTTACCTAATGTGCAGAGCTGTCTGCAGGGAGATCTTTGCAGATGTGGTTGTGATTCCAGCCTTGGATGCTTTAATACTGGGAGATATCAAGTGCATAATGAAAAAGTAGGTTCTTTTTAAACATCTGAGATTTTGTACATAGTTCTTCTGACTGACCTTTGATAGGCTAATTTCTCTTTAACTGCTCTCCAGCCAGCTGTGCTATGCAGAACAGCTGGGCTCTTGCTCCTTTCATTGACTGTGTAAATATTTCTCCCCTCCTAACCCATTTGGCTCTTTCATATGCTCAAAAGACTCTCCAGGTTACTTGTCACTCCACAAAGGGAACCTGAGACCCAGTTCTGGGACTGATGGCCTGCGAACGGGACACTGGAGTTGGGTGGGTGAGTGTTGGATTAGGTACTGAGGGTACCCATGGGTGGGCAGTGGGGCTCGCAGGGCTGTGTCTCAGTGCTGCCTTGTGAGGCTAGCTGCATTTTTGAAGTATATAGTGTTGAAGGGCTGATCTGCTGCTCTGACCTGACCCACTGGCAGTGGGTGGTGAACGGCTTTATCCCCGCAACTCCTTTATGCTTTGGCAAAATGCTCACCATAGAGGTCAGAAAGGGTATCTGAAACGGAACAAAAAGACCCCGTGGAAGCACCTGCTGAGCCAGCTGGGACAATGCTGGTTGCCTGCCACATCTCTCCTCCTGTGCCTGAAAAGCCTGCAGTGCTGTTAGCTGCCTTTAGAAACTTCCTTCTTCCTGGCCAGCACCACGCACAGCCCTGCTGGGTGCTCTGTATTTTGGAGGGGTGTGGAGAGCCCTTGCTGGGCACTACTGTCAACAGGGTGCTCTGGATAAGGGTACCACAGCGCAAATCCTTTTGCAGCCTCATGACACAGACCAGGTCAGAGCCAAACCAGCAGCACCAAATACCCCACAGCACAAGATTTCCCAAAGGGAACATTTCTCCATTTGGAAATGGTGAGCTCCCATGCCTCTGCCTGTAACTGGGGAAGCAGGAGGAGGATGCTAGTGCTGTGTTTGGCCCTGAGCTGGATCCTGGGTGATGGGCATGCCCACCCCAAACATACAGTGGATTGGAACTGGCTTTTTGCCGGCAGTGCCAGCAGTGCAAGAGGATGGTGGACCTGCAGCTTATAGCTGCAGCTGTGCTGATGGATGAGTGCTCCCTGGCTATTCTCAGTGCCTTGGTCTCTCTCCAGCCCCTCCATTTCTGCTTTGGGGAGCTGAAGGGATGCCTTGGTAGTGTACTGAGAACGTGAAAGTCTACTGCAGCAGGGGAGTGCAGTGAGGAGGGTAAAGCCACATTGTTCTCCCTTCCTGTCAGTTCATCCCTGTGTGTCTAACCCCTGGCCTCAAGGAGCTGGGAGGTGATGCTTGGTGACAGCTCCCTTCCCAGTCCTCGGCTCAGGAAGGACTGGGGGCTGGTGGGAACTGTGCGAGATTGGGCTGCTAAGCTTGTTGGTCCTTTTCCCTGCTGATGTGAGAACAGAGGAGGTGACCTGCTCCCACGTTTGTTAGGATATGTCCAGGCTTTTGCAGGCTGCAGGGTTAGTTCCCTCAGCTTTCCCCAAGCGTAATGCCATAGCAGGAGAAAGGTGAGATCTTGGTGGGTGGGATTCCCCCAGGGTCTTTCCCACAGGCTCAGAAAAGCCATCCTCATCAGAGGGAGGATCGGCTGCTCCATGGTTGGTGTCTTCCTTTCCGTGGACCATTTCTTTTCAACATCTTTCAGTATGCTTATTAGAATATTATTCTTTTTAATTTTTGAATGATTCAGATTATTGTCGTTTAACACAAATTTATTTTCCCTTTTGAGGAAATACTCAGCTGACTTGTTGGCAGCAGTTAGCTGTCTTGTGTGAATTTTTAGTGGTGGGTTTGTTTTTTTTTTGTTGTTTGGTTTGGTTTTGATTTTCTTTTTATTTTTTTTTAATTTGTACTTTGACTGCTTAGTATTTATGCCTCTCCTTCTCCTCATCTCAGTTCAGCGTCTTCTGTTCCAGATCTGTGGTTCAGAAGGTCAGCATAGCTGACCAGATGGAGATTAGTCCCTCCCAGCTGTAATGGAGCTTGGTCCATCACCGTTTGCTGTTTCTTTATTATTGTTTTTAATGGCACACTGTAGTAAATCTCCAGGAATTGAATTCCTTCTCAAATGTTTTTATATATTTTATCAAATCCTGTTAGTATGCACTGAGAGCGAACACACTGTATCGTCCCTGAAATGACGCTGGTGCATGTGCTGACACTGTGGTAGGAGTTAACAGCTCATCCTTGACAAGATACATGCAACTGGCTGCTGCTCCAGTGACCTGTGTTTTCCAATACTACTGGCACACTCGGGACTGCAAATGGTAGAACCAGGCCTTACTTTCTAAATCAGATTCGGTTCTGTTTGTCAGTGGATGCTCTTTAATGTGCTACTTAATTTTGTTACGTGAGTCAGTCAAGGATTGTTCATCCTTTGAGTACTCTAGAAGTATGTTATACCTGTATACAGTAGAGAGCATTCTGCTTAGGTATTTATAAATCATTGCGTATAATGTACATAGTAAGGTTGTTTAGTATGTTGAACATGACCCGATTAATTTTTTTGTGTTTCCTTTGAAGTACTCAAAGGGCTAGCTCTGAATGTCACCTCTCTGATCTCCAGTGTTCTGACTTCAACAAGATGTACAATCATTTTGTTTTCTCTTCAGCAAGCATAAAGGTCTCTCTGGCTACAAATCACAGTGTCCATGCACGCTTGCAGAGAAAGATCTGCATGCTGGCAGTGCCTCACCGCACCGGTGAAGCTTGTGTTCATGTTCTCCTGGCAGTAGGCATCTACTGCAGCTGACTTTTGTTTTCCTTGCTGCCCATTATGCAGGGCTTCAATTTTTCGTATCTTAAAAAAAAGAAAAAAAAAAGAAAAGAAAAAAAATAGTGAATTTTCTTTGCCCACCATGCTCTAGAAGTCTGAATGGGAGAAAACTCTCAGCAGACAGTGGCTCCTGGCTGCAAGGTTGCCGAAATCTCGGATGTGGATGTTTTTTCTGCCATTGGCTGCACCAGTGCTCCGTGGGCATGGGCAAATACCAGATCCATCCGCCCCACAGGTCTACGTACTGTAGTTCTCATGTAGTGCAGAAATACCGAGGCATGTGGCTTTCTTAAGGTACACTATGTGTGCTTGCCTGGATTACAATACAATATGAGACTGTCTTTTTTTATTGCTTATTACTAGCTTACCAATAACCTGTATAAGTAATGTAACTCGCATCTTTGTCATCAAAAACTTTTCTCCCCACCCCTTTATTTATCAAGCATAATATTACATATTAAGGGACAGAAAAAATAGACCTTTGTAGAATGCAGCAGGACATTGCTAACAATGTTTTAAATGGGAAGTAAAAACCTGCTCTGAAAAACGCCAGCCACGAGAAATGACTTTGTTGGCACCGTGTTCATGCGCATGTATTTTTTTCTATTTTTTCCGCTTTTGTCATGTTACATCCATATCTGTATTTATATCTTATTTGTTTCACTTTTGAGTGTATCATGGCAATTGTACAGATGGTTTTTGTTAACATTTACGTGATAGAATTTGCTAAGAAAAAAAAAAATAAAACCTTTTGAGTTTGCCCTAGAAGGAGTTGGGTTTCTTTTGTGGGGGAGAAATTAGTAGTAAAGTAGTAAAGGTTCATTATCCAACACAGCTCCTTACCCCAACAGCCTTTGCTTACAAAGGATCTGCTCTTATTCCTGCCCTGGCAGCTGTGTTTTTCTGTCTTGGAGGTGGTTTGGTGGGCTGTTTCCTACAGGCACCAGTCTGTGAGTGGCAGTGAGGCTAGGAGGCAGCTGATCTTTTGGGGTGCTGGTCTTTTGCTGTCAGTTTTTAAAGGCTTTTTGAAAATCAGGATTTGAGAGGATTCTTGGGAGCATTTATGGCCTTTGGAAGAAGGGGCAAGCAACTCAGGAGGACTACAAAGATGCTGTAGGGAGAAAATTAGAAGGGCCAAAGCCTGACCAGAATTTAATCTGTCTACTGCTGTAAAAGGTAATTAAAAATGTTTCTATAATTTTAGAATGTAATAATACATTAGCAATAAAAGATGGGCTAAGGAGACTCTCCTATTGGATGTGGAGGGAAACATAGTGCCAAAGCATGAGAAAAAGGATGAAGTACTTGATTCTTTCTTTACCTCAATTTTCTATAAAAAGACCACTTGTGGTTAGGGTACCCAGCGCCACAAGCTGGAAGACAGGGACAGGGAGCAGAATGAAGCTCCCATGGTCCAAGGAGAAATGGTCAGCAACCTGGTACACCACTTAGACACACACAGGTCTACAGGGCTGGATGGGATTGATCCAAAGGTAGTGAGGGAGCTGGTGGAAGTGCTCACTGAGACAGTTTCAATCATTTACCAGCAGTTCTGGCTAACTGGGGAGGTCCCAGTTGACTGGAAGTTACCGAATGTGATGCTCGTCTACAGGAAGGGCTGGAAGGAGGATGTGGGGAACTACAGGCCTGTCAGTCTGACCTTAGTGCAAGGAAAGGTTATGGAGCAGATCATCCTGAGTGCCATCATACATGTACAGGACAACCAGGCTGTCAAGCCCAGTCAGCATTGGTTTAGGAAAAGCAGGTCCTGATTGACTGACCTGATCACCTTGTATGACAAGGTGACCTCCTTACTGGATGAGGGAAAGGCTGTGGATATTGTCTACCTTTAGACTTTAGTAAAGCCTTTGACACCATTTCCCACCACGTTCTCCTGGAGAG